ATCCAATCCATCCATCAACACCATAGCTGTCCAACTGAATGGCAAGAATGTTGTGAGGGACTGTATCAAATGGCTTCCAGAAATCTGGGTAGATGATACCTGTAGCTCTTCCCTTATCCACTGTTGCACTCACTCCATTGTAGAAAAATGTGGCTATATTATTAAGGGAAGTTGTTTGTCATACTGCAATATGTTCTTCCCTGTAGCTGAAATACTGTCTTTAAAGCACCTACAGGAACTTAAATGCAAGTAGCAATTAATGGCTTAGACTGTCTAATGATTTTACTCCTGCTAAATGCGACTGTTGGCAGCATGGGTGGCGTATGCAGGGTTTTGGATTTTTTTTTTTAGAATTGGGAGGAAGGCTGGATCTGACAGGAGCACAACTTGAGTTGTAATCTTCCAAAAAAGGAAACATTTGCAATGTTCATTTTGAGAATATTTCTAAACAGTGAAGGAGAAGGTTATGGCTTGGTTAGCTAGCTGTATGCGCTCAGGCAGTGGCCCTCTTATGTTTGTTGGCCATAGACTTTTGATACAGGCTCTCACTTCTTTCTACTACTTAAGCAAGCAAATAAAAAAACCTGAAGATTTCCCTTTGGAAAGGGAGAGAATATGGCAATGAAATTGAACACAGTAATACATGTTTTTCTCTGATATCTTTTTGCCCGCTTGAGTTTTAACAAAATTACATTTCTTCCGTTTTACAGAAGTTGACATGAAATAGTGCCCTTTACATTTTAGGTCTCTAAATGACTTTTGTGCCTGACAGACATTTTTTCAGAACACCTCTGTGGAGCTTGGGGGAATCTGTTGATAGTATTACTGGTACTAGTGCTGATAAGGTTTTTGAAAACTTTTTCTACTTTTAGGTGTTTATTTAATAGAGGACAAGAGAAAGCAGCTATTGTAGTACGCCTTAGGTGTCTGTGACCTCATAGAGGTACTTTAAGGTGGGAAGTGGGGTTGTAGGTGCTCATGCTGTAGCTTGATAAGCAAGAAGCGTAAAGGAGACGTCATTGTTTAGGTTTAGGAAACCTGTTTCACAAAGACTTAGTAACTCTGTCTCAGGAAGTCTCTCACAGAGATTGAAAATTTTTTTCAAATTTTAAGTATTAGTTAAAATGCTCTTTATAGCTGGAACTTGGCTAGGATGTTGGGGGTGAAAAACTGTACTGCTTTTAAAATGGTTAGGAGGTGCTTGCTCAGAGAAGCAAGTGCAGTGATTCTTGGATCTTTGCAGTCTGGTTAAGGGGATACTGAGAAAAAAAGGCAATAAAACCTATATCTAAACAGTAGAGTAAGCTGAATTTGCTGTTCCTTTTCTCCCTTTGCAAATGTGAAAAACTTCTGTTTTTGTAACAAAATGGTAGGTGAACTACTGATGCTTTTAAAATCGCTGCTATGGCTAATTATCTCAGCACAGTCACTTATGTATGCATCATTGCACTCTACCTTCCCACTTCCCTCTGAAAGTGGACACAGCCTTTGCTCTGCAAGTGATGATAATAATTGGTAGTAAGACAGACCTGTTACTCATCCTTTTTTGAGCACATTTCTTATGGCAGGTGTCTAGTTTTTAATTAACTGCTAATGAACATGCCTAGTAGACCATGATACTGCTGCCAACTTACTCCTTTTTATATCTCGCTGCTGCTAAGCTCTTAAAAGGTGACAGAGCAGCATTAGTGTCTTTGAAGTGATAGGAAAGTGATTATATGCATAACATAATTGTTTTTAGGATCTGCTATGGCAAATGTCTAGTTACTAAATACATCAGGTGAATGCTGCTGTTATCCATCTCCCTGGTCTTTGGTTTCTTCCTTTGTGTGCAACACATATTACTTTTTCCCCCTTCTAGGAAGAGAATACAATATACTTCTAACGATTCAAGTTTTTTACATAACAGCATGAACTTCTGGAAAGGATCATCTTTATGTGTAAGGGAGAATTTTAGACCTATTATGAATAGGTAACATAAAACCAATAAAGCAATATATTTCAGTCATAAATAGCAGTGGGCCTAAGATAATAAATATTACATCACAATATACCTTTGGCTTAAAAGACCATCATCAGGTTTTCAGTCTTAAGTCTGTTTAATGTAGTTGAATATTTAAGTATCTTTGGGTACCATTTTCCTCTGCTACTCTCAGTAACCATTTTGCAATGCTGCTAAGATACTATGCAGAGTGATGCATTTCCACTTAATTGCTCTCATATCTCCTTCTACACCTTACGGTGAGCATTGCTGTCCACCATTCGTATGCAGTCCCATCAGAGAAACGGGACACAGCCCTTCTCGTCACATGCTTTTAGCTTGAGAACCTGTCAGAGGGCATTAATCTGTTCCTCATTTCTAGGACTTTTGTAATACCCTGTGTGTAGGCTACAAAGCAGAGACAGGGAAATTGTAGGTAATGTGTCCCTAACAGTTTGATTTCTAAAAATGTTAACCTGTGTTTCCTGAAATCACATGAGTTAATTTGTTTGCTAATTAAACCAAGAGAGGCATGAATAAAGGGAATATTCACAGGCTTCCTGAAGGGATAGGGACAAGAATGGAAACAATTTAACATCATTTCCCTGTTTTGACCTTCCCATGCCCACACAGCAAAAGAAACTAATTTGAACTCACTGTTGGAGGAAGGAAGAGGCTTTTCTCCACGAAACCAATTTGGAAGGGATAAATAACTCTTTGTTCTTAGTCAATTGCACACCACAACTAGATAATCCAGTGTGATAGTGCAGCTGGGGACAAGTAGGACCAATGCCATGAATGCAGTACAGTACTGCTGATGCAGTTGTCTCATGGCTAGAGTGCAGATGACTGACCTGGCTTAAGTGGTCAACAAGGAAGGGAGCAACTAAGATACCATCTCTGAGAGCCTGCCAAAAACATGTTACCTCCTGATTTGAGAAAACATGCTGGAAACTACTGAAGTCTTGATAAAGTATGTGAGAAGGAAGATGTCCTCTCGCTCTTCAGAGGCTGTATCAAAACCCAAAAAAAACCCCAAAACCCTGTCAGTGCTCTTTACTCATACTTCTTCAGTTAATTGAAGATTCACTAGCAGTAGCAGCTTGATTGTAGAAGGTGGTCTACTGCTTCAACTACTTCAAATATATAATTCTTAATACTTCCTTTAAAATGTTACTTTTTTGGGTTGTTGTAAACACATTAAAATAGAAAGATAAGAGCTATCCCTCTTGCCTTTCCTTTTAAACATACTGAAAAGTTGACAAGGATAGTGATCAGGTGTACGTATTAGAGTGCAGACTAGCAAGGCTTTTTATGCAGCATGTGAAAAGAAATTCACATGGTGTGAGAAAGATTTGGTAAACTTGTGGCTTTATAGAATTGACTAAGGGGATTGTGGTAGATTTTAAGACTTGTCTTGTATATAAGAAATAAGTAAATGATGGCTGGATTACAGCAGAAAAGTGAAACTTTAGCAGGCCCAGTGCAGAGTTCTTCAGTGTCAGTTGCTTGTGTCTACATAAGTTTATAAACAGCTCAAGGCATGTCTTGGAATATGATTATGAGAAATAAAAGTGTAGGAACACAGTAGTTATCTAAATAGTAATAAATGAAGTCATTCATATGGCAGTAGATGTTATGCAGGTGCTGTTGACAGTTTGTCTTGAAGAGTCTTGGGACCTATGGAAGCAGATAAAATATTTTTGGGTTATTTGGAGTTGAGTTATTTTGGTGTAACTTGTGAAGTATTGTGAGTTCAGTAGCTGTCAACAGTACTGTAACCATTTTGCCTGCTCATACAGGACACTAGCATTCACCAGGTCAAACTCTCACGTCTATTTGAGCTCATCCTGTTCAGACGTTTGCTTATCTGTCTTCTCTTTGCTCCCATGAGTTGGGTGGTACTCTAGCTTATTTTCATGGTATGTAACTTCAGCAGAGGGATGTCGGAGTGTGGCCAAGGTGGAGAGGTTTCTACTGTCTTCTGTTCAAATGGCCAGGCACAAGGCAGCAGGAAAGAAGCAGGAAATCTGTTTACCTGTAGCAGACTAAAGGGGAGGTATGACTAAGCTAAATGCAGTTTTGAAGCTTTGTTTTCTGAATCTGTGCTAGGCATTTTGGACAAATTAAATGGTTAGCTGAAGTTGGAAAATATTAGTAAAACCCTAACAGCTTTAACTAGAAAATATCTTAATATTTAACTATGGGGAAGTTGTTCCATTATAAGTACTCTCTTTCTAAAATGGCGCACGGGTTATTTTGCCTGATAGGTTACAGGATTCTATGTCCACTCATTATGATACTGATCCTGCAAGCTGCTTTTGAAACAGATGGAGGTATTTTAGTTCATTAAAACCACATTTCTTGTTGGAAATTCTATGACTTTATTGTTGCTACCTGGAATACCTGGATTTTAAGCTCAAGGTTGGTTCTTAAATACAGTGTTGGTTCATGAATAATTTGTTTTTTCAAAAGCTTGGCTAGAACATAATATGAATTTAACTACACTAAATATGAAATTGATGAGCATGTTTTAGGTTTTTTAGTATTCAAAATAGAAGCCTATTTGCTATTTCCAAATTGGGGATGTGAGTTAAAATCAGTCTTGCCAGTGAAACTTCTTTTGTTTTCCCAGAGCAGTGATGTTCCTTTCTACAGAAAGGAAAGTGTATTCAGGCCTTCCGCTGCTGCTGTTTGTTTGTCACTGGTGATGCTGTGGCAGGCAATAGCTGCCCAAAATAACCTACAGCAGCTGAACTTATTCCTCGGGCTGAAGAACAGGTATCTAGCTAGCCTTTTTTGGTTTATGGGATGTGAGCAGAGCTGTCCACCCACTGTGTGCTATAATGTAGTATGTACGTGTGGTGGGACAAAAAGGAGAGGCTAGATTTAAAACAGACAAACAAATTAAAAAATCCACTGTTGATTCCTAATAATTAACCAAACTTCTCCCTTCTCCTTCCCAAACTATGTGCTATGTGGTGTTCTTCTGGGGATGGTGATACACCACTGGGAACAGCAGCAGCAGTTGCAGGCTCAACATCTCTCCCATGGCCATGGACCTCCAGTGCCTCTAACACCACATCCATCAGGACTTCAGCCTCCAGGAATCCCTCCACTCGGAAGCAGTGCTGGCCTTCTTGCCCTTTCTAGTGCTTTGGGTGGGCAGTCTCACTTGGCAATAAAAGATGACAAGAAGCATCACGATGCAGAACACCACAGAGGTGAGAGGCATGGCAGGCCTGATTAGGACATTGTCAAATTTGCACATTGCTGCAAACTATATGCATCTCTAAAGAATTCAAGTTATATAGAATGAGAAAAAAAAAAAAACCCTGTTGGGAAATTTAAAAATGTCTGCATATATACCACTGAAGCAAAATTCAGCTTGGAATTTTTCAGTATTTTAAAAGGGGATCGCTAGGTGTCATCTGCTCTGTAGTTTGCAGGGCATTTTGACATCCTGGTAAATGCTTAGTTGTAACACCAGTGGCCTGCACCATATTGTGGAAAACTGTTAAACTGCATAATGGATAATTTTTTCAAAGAAAGTAACTTGTTAAATGGGTGGGTGGGAAGGTAGGGAGAATGAGAAGTTAAATTTTGAAGTGAATGTGTTCAAACAAAAGATTTAGATAATTGCATCTGTTATTTTAGTTTTGTAGGCTTAAATTCTAGTACGCAATTAAATATTGGGCAAAATTGCACTTGGCTAATTTTTGAAAAGAAAATAATTTATTCTGTCATGAAGTAAAACTAGGCTTTGTGTATGGTTAAACTGTAAATCATGTTTACAAAATACTGTAATTTTCAGGAAATCACTGTATTAGGATGTGCAATGACTTATATAAATAAAAGCCATTTAAAAACTGTTCGTGGCTTGTGTTCTAATTTTTTTTCCCCCCTTTTTTATTTCTGTTCTTGCCTCTGTGTCTGAACGGGCATGTCTGTGCGTTTCTTGGTTACTGCGGGAGCAGACAGAGAGCCAGGCACAGTAAGTACCGACATTCCTCCTAATGTTTCCAGTTCTACTTAATGTAATAATCAGATATTGCACTGTTTGTCTGTTTTGTCTTCCTTTTAGTCAGTTTCATGATACTAGGCATATGTGTTTTCTGTTAAGATATCTTCTTGGTTTATACAGAACACCAAGTCATTTTTTTTTTTGGAGGACTGTATGAATCGAGTTTGTTTCCAGGCAAAATGATATTGGGGAAGCTTGAACTTTAGTTTGTTTATTGGAGGTGGATGGGAAGCTGTAAATCAAACAGAACATTGACAGCAGCTTAAAGTATAACATTATTAGACAGAGTTAAGATTTTTCCTGTAGGATTTTCAGGAATTCGAGTTGCAGAAGAAGGGAGAAATTTAAAATTAATGTGTCATGATGGCTTCTGGCCTTAGGAGTTTCTTTAACTGAATCTGTTTAAGCCATACTAATGTCTTTTGCTGCTTAATTTGTGCTTCAGGTATAACTTCCATAGCAATACTTTTTTTGCTTTAGATGTAAGCTGTGATAGAATTGGTCTAAAACAATCTTCTCTGAAAACAGCCAAATAACTACTTTGTTACAGCTTTTTATACTGATGTGTTTTGAGTGATATTGCTATATTGATCTGTCCGAGGTGGGCATATGCAACTTACAAGTAATTTCAAGTAACAAAGCAAGTTCTGCTTGTTGATGTCATAGGTGAATTTGGGCTCTATTTTGTTTCTTTTACTCAATTAGAAAAGATAAGAACTAAGAAAAGTTATTTGACAGATGTGTTTATGGTACTAAACTGATTTTTTTTATTGCTGCCTCTTTTTTAATACTAGGGCTTGACAATTATTTACTACCTAATTTCAGCATCAATCTTTTTTTGTTTCTAGGTTTTTAAAAAAAGGCATTCATTTCAGCTTGCTTAATGTTGTATTTCTTCTCCTTGCTGTCTTCCTATCCTTCCCTGTCCTGCCACGTACTTTGCTGAAGGGCTTTTGAGTTTAAAATCAGATGCTTCAAAGTGTTATGAAATTCGGACTCTGAATTCATCTCGTAGCTGAGAATAGTTCTTGCCTATGGAAGAAGAACTGTCAAAAATTAAACTTGACTTTTGTGTTGTAGGAGATCTGCAGCTTCACTTGCTCAGTTTACTGTATGTGACAATTTGTTTAATTAAGTACACAAAATTGTCACTGCTGTTACTTCTGTCTCCATATGTGTAGCTCATGATTGCTTGGTTGTAATCTGTAGTAGGCTTTTTTTATTCTGCTTTTACCACTAAGTAACCTTTAAACAATCTGAGGCTTTATTTCATGGAAGACATTTGCTGTATGGATACGTTGAGTTTAGACTACTAAACTGGTGGCCGTAGTTCCTTTTTCGTCCCAATGGAGAATAATGCTTCATAATTAAATTGAATTTTGACAGCTGGATACAGGTGAACTTAAACTTGAATTTGAAATTGTTTAAATACAGTGTTGCATTAGAATCTTGGCTTACTATTAAATGATATCTTCAATGAAAGGATTATAATTCAAGTGATAGTCAAGTTCAAATCTCCAGCTAAATTGCTCAGCTGGGTATAATTTGCTCTTTGAACTTCTCTAATTATCTTGTATTTTTAATGGATTTCTTTTTAATTTAAAACATTTTTAATACAATTGGTCACAAGTACACAAGGCATACCAGCAAGTCTGTTTAATTATTAAATGTGGTTTCCAACTAAGCCAGTAAGCTCTTTTTTTGTAAATTAGTTTATAACATCTGGGTCACCAAGATAAGATCAATTTTCAGAGTAATATTGTAAGTGTAATGGTGCTGTCAGAAATTCTGACAAAAGCTTACTTTTATCATCCAAGACACCAAAACCCATGCTGTCTTAGTTACCTAAAATAACCATGATATTTGGTGTTACTGTGAAGTTCTCAGGATGATTTCCATCAGATATGTCTAGTGTGACCTTCCCAGTATCATCAGTAGAAGCTGACAGTTTTAAATATGCAAGCTTGAATGAATACAATTTAGCACTTGCCTATTTGGTTTTAAATTGAGTTTTTTGGCATAACTTCGAGTTAAAGCATATTGTGGCATATTATTTGAGCATATGCATTTTTAAATGAGATAAGGTTTTATTTTTTAAATTTTCCTTAAGCAAATAAGCAGACATGAGCTTTTATGTTTTATATGTTTAGAAATACTTCATAATGCAGTGATATTCATGTATTTATAAAGGAATATAAAGATTTAGTGATTTAATTATTCTTTATTGTAATATATCCATTTTACCTACTATATCTAAATGGTGAGGTCTACATTTCTCTTTTATATTACTTTGTTTCAGGAAGTTAAATGAAAGGAAGTCCTTTATGAATAAATGTTTGTGAAATATATAACATTTAAGTTGGTAATAATAGTATACTTCATACATGAACTGCTAAAATTTGGTTGAAGTTAAATTATAGGATTACATGGATAACAGCAGGTGGGTTTTGGCTGATGTACCTCTAACTACCCAAAACTGGGTCATGTTATTGTGGGAATGCAGGCCTTCCTACTGTTGTGACACCGTCTGGCTGCAGATAACGAAGGCAGGCAAAGCAAGCAGGTTTTGCAACTGAGTCTTAATAAAGTTTTGGGAGACATCAATGCAAAAGAACTTTGATGTTTGTGTTTTTTCTATGGAAGATACTGGCAACATTTGTCAAACTTATCTTAGTTGTTAATTCGTTACTTGTCTTCAGTCTGTTCTAGTATCCTGTTTGGACAGCATAGAAATGCAAAAGTTCTGAAGCACTGTATTGTATCAGTAATAATTTGTAGGCAGTGAAATCTTACTTCACTATGTGCTTGGGATTTACGTTAAGTTGGTATTTATCTTTTGTCCTCATGAAAAACATTGAGATTGTTTTCTAAGACTTAAGAAGTACTTATAAATTTTTCTAAGAAATTTTTTTACCTTCACTGTTAATCATAAATATTGCTATTGTTTTGTAAAGCAAATGCTCCTTTCCTGCAGCAGAAAAATATTCTGTGTCCTTAGCTCTCTGTCTATTCTTCACCTCCCAGTCTTGGAGGAAGGGAGCATGCACAATTGAATGACACTTTTTCGTTGATATATGCAAGCTGTTTTTGTTTGGTGTTTTCCGTCCCCACTATTTAAAAGAATTAAATCATAAAAGGAGTTACATGAAAGTGTAGGGTAGTCTTCAGTGTAGCACAAGTATGTTTCTTGGCCTTTGTGGAGAAGGTATTACTTTCCGTTACATAGTTTGTAATCAAAAAAACTTGAATTTCTTTATTCAGTTATATCTTTTTATTGACTCTGTCAACATAAAAATAAGTCAAGTCTTATGGTCTTCATAGATGCAAACCACAAATTAACGTCAGCAGGAGCCACTCACAGAAGAGCTGTGGAATGCTGTGTTGCAGTTCAGTTTATAGCTGATACAAAGCAGCATGAGGTTGATGACTTAAGGACATGAAGATTGGGGTGGACTGGTATAAATTTTTACGGATACACTTGATTCTGACAAACACTAGCTAGAAAATACTGAAATCAACAGAAGCCTTATTCTCTGCTAATGTCTCCTGATTATTGAATCAATGTGGAGGGTGATTCAAATCCATTTAGGCTTCTAGATTTCATTGTTCCTAATATGAACATACTAGTCTAAATATAACTTAAAATGGTGGATGAAAAGAGGGCGAAGTCAGTAGCTTTCCATCACTGGTAACTTAAAACAAAACCTACTGACTATGTTAGTCAACTTTTGTGTTGTTGACATGTGTGTTTGCAAGAAGCATATTCAACAAATGAAAGTTAATGATTCTTGAGTTGAATAACTTTGAGTGCTATCTTGTGCCTTGCTCGGGGATGGTTAGACACTAGTGCCTCTTCCAGCGTCCACTATGTTTCTATCAATGAGTTCTGACAATGAGTGGTGGGACTGCTAAGCAACTGGTATCTTGATTGTAGCTGTTGGACTTGATCCTGTTTTGCCTACTCAACAAGGGATTGCATTTGTTCCTGTCTACATATAGGTATCTGTAGATAGCAGTTGTGTGTGGTGCAGTGGCACAGGTCCATTGTAACGGTTAAATAAACACAGCGGCCCTGCCTGGTGATACGGGCAAGCGCTTGTCAGCTGTAATGGCAGTTGGGTGCCATTGGTTTGAATGTACAGCAAGTCAGTGAATGGCCAAGCAGAGAGCAAGTGTGTGTGTATGTGTCTTTGGGGGAAAGGGGAGTGGGAGTGATAAGGAGCCCAGCACTAGAGAAGATTTTAATTGGAACCGGAGCCGTGAGCACAGATGTGATGTAAATACTGCTATTTAATTGCTGTAATGATCAGCATGAAGTTAATTCAGTTCTGTATGTTCTACTGAGTTGTCTGGTGATGTAATGTAGCTGGGGCTAAATGAGATTACTGTGGGCTCTTGGCCTGTACCTCTAGCACACATACTTATGGTTTGGATGTAGTTCCTATGGGAAATGGCATGGCAGTCAACGAAGTACATTTGAATAATATACATTATATTTCTAAGAGGGAACCTGCCCTCTCACTGTGCATCATGACTAGGTTTTCGTTTCACATTTGCTACTGGTGGCTTCAGTTTTTATCTTCTGGCAGCAAAGTTGCTTTAGGATCCCAGGTTGCCTGTTATACAGCCCTTATGCAGTCTACTACCTCTGACAGGACAGGAAGCAGTGCTGCATTAGGCTTTTTTTCTTCTTTTGGACTTATTTGAGGAAAAGGGATGAATGTGAATAAATTTTGAATTATTGGAAGAAAAAGAACCACTTAAATTTATTGATAAAATTGATTTTGACCTTTTAGTCTGATCTGAGGTTCATGATTTACAGTTGTTGCATTGGCAATCCCTAATAAATTTAGCTCCTAGTATGAAAGCAAGGATTATCCTCAATTGTGTATCTAGTCTGTTGAAGTTAAGGCAAAATGAAAACTGGTGTCATGGAGTTTCTCTTTAGGAAATCAGCTATGCATGTATAGATCTCTTTGCCCTTTTTGTACAAACTGATTATTGATCAATCCCAACTGAAAATTTCTGTAGCATTATTAAAAAATTATATAAATATTATACTTAAAATAAAAATGGTAGACAAACTAAACATTTTTTATTAAAGAGAAGATAAGCTGTACTCTATCATTGTGAAGCTGCTGCTACTTTCTCTTAGCTGGCCCTATGCTTGATAGTGAACATATGGCAAACATAAACTCTACCAGGGCTGAAATGAAGAAAGGTGGTGTTTAGTAGCCTGTCCTCACTGTTCCCTCAACCTAAACATTGTGTCGGTAAGAGATGTCAATAGCCCAAGGCTTACATGATCATATCTTTCCCAGTTCTTGTTTGTATGTTCATTTATTTTCTTTGTTACTTCAGTGTTCTGGATCTACCATATGCACTACTTAAAAAGATGCAGATTTTCATATTGTTGAATGAAATCTTACACAATTGGTGGTGTCAATTATGATAGTAGGTTACAGTAGCAAGCTATTTTTTAATCAAAAATTATACTTCACCTGATTTAAGTCACTATTGTTACAACTTCCTTGTACTCCTAAGGGAAACAAAATGCTACCTTTTTAATTATTGAGCTTACTGGTAGATTTTGCCAGAGTAACAGCACGATCTTACTTGCAGCTGCCAGTATAGCTATTGTGAAATAAGCTGCTCTACAACAGCTTCTAGCAAGGATGCTCTGGTTCCAGAGAACAGTGCTTTAAAAGAATGTGGTGAGTTAGAGAAAGGCAGTGTAAATGTGAACATAGGGGAGAAGTTTTGCAGAATAGGCTTGTGAGGTCTGTAGATTATTGTTATAGTAACATGTTTATGTGATAAGCTATCAGTCTTTTGAGGAAAAATCAAATCTAGTAGTCTTTGTTTGACATTTAGGACACAGTGGGAGCTAAGTATACCTGGGAGTTCCTAGGTATGTTCACAGTATGGAAGTTCTGCGGGACTGTGCAGAAGATTGTCAGCATTGTCTAGGCAGACTTTACATTAAACCAGAAAAAAATATCAGCTCTTGTAGTTACATGTATGTGACACCAAAATTTGCAAGCTGTTCCGTATGCTTCTGTGTAGTGACTTCAAATAGCAGGATTGCTAATTTTTTCCCGGCTGCTTCCCCTTTGCCACCTTTCTGTTGTTCATGCTTACTTTTGGCAATTTAAAATGAAACGAGTTTGTTCACTTTACCACATTTGCTTTCATTGTTTTATTCTACGCTCTTCAGTAGCAAAATTGATTTTTTTTTTTAACTTATTTTTAAGGGAAGTATCTCTTAACTAAAAGATTTTCCTTCTTCAAGACAGACATTTGCAGGACTCAAATCTTTGGTCGAGTTTGAATTGACAGCTTGGCTTCTTAAGATGTTTCTAGTGCTACAGACATGATGGATTCAATATTAAAATGTTGAAGACTGGTTTTGAAGTTTTTTCAAGTTAGTGAATCCCTGAATTTGTGTGCATCTGGGAGAAGATGAGGGGTTAAATTCAGACTATTTGTCAAGGCAATTAGTTCCGTGATCCAACAAGCCCACCTTGTATCTGCAGAGCATTGCGGTAAAGACGTTATTTTGAGTTTCTTTATACTGAATTTCGTTAGACCCTCCTGTATGCTTTATGTAAGCCCCTTGGCATTTGTTTAGCTAGAATAGTCATGAATAAAAGAGCTTAGAGTTGCTTTAAAGTACAGCCTCTGGAGTAGGAAAAAGAGGATTCAGATTGCCTTATGTACTCTGTTTTGTTTTCCTTTTCCTTGGGACTAAACATTAGTGTCTTAGCAAAACTACCGTGGTGTGCTCAGGTTTAAAGGGGAAGCCATTCAGGGCACAGTTCACTGGCTATTAGTGTATGTTTATGATATATTAGAGAGTAGATATTTCTGGCTTTTGGGTAGATTTAAGTATTTCCTTTGAGACCTTACACTTATAGTATACACGTTGGTATTAGGGTTTTCTCTTGAGATACGTGTATGCGTGTAAACACATGTTTACTTATATATTTGTGTAAGCATATATTTATGTAAGCACATACTTGGCTTTTAGGAACTAGACTCACCAGGTCTTTGTGAAAGAAGATTTTTTTTTTCTCAGCTCATTCAGTATTGTTCACAGCATTAACACATCACTGAACAAATTGCCCTCTTGCATATGCTAATCCTGCATTTAAAAGAACTCATTGTAACACGTTTTAATGCTTTAGCTGGAAGGGAGATGGAGATGGGAATCGAAGGCATGTCAAATTGTCATGTGACTGAAAAATGTCTAAAATGCCTTTCTCTTTGGGTCAACAGTTTGTACTTAGCATAACTTAGCATGAGTGACAGCAGTCCATGTAGTTTGAAAATTAATCTTTGCTTTTGTGTTTTGTGTGTTGGCCTCAGTTTTTCAGATCAAGTCTGATTAAAGAACACTTTAGCCTTAATTTCACACTAGTAATGCATGTTATGCTGGAAGTAAAAATATTTGATCTTTGTTTGCAATACATTTGTTGAAGGCATCCAATTGGAGTTTACCGCAGCTAACAAGTGATTACTGCATAAGCTTATTTGGTAAATATTTGTTATTTTAAGAATTAAAGGCAAGTTGCCATATAGCTATCCATGCCTTCAGGTGTAGACATATCAAAGCCTCATCTGTTTATGACGGTGTAGAAGCAATCAGATTATATATAGTAAGTGTCTTTTATTATATAGGATCTGTTTATTAAAAAAAATAAATTAAAAAGTCATTGTTACCTGCTTGTGAATAAACAGCAAGCCTACTTCTAAATAATAAGTTCAGTTGAATTAATTAGTTAGATAGATGATGACTGACAGGTGAACTAAACCTTTGGTAAGTTGAACAATGAAAACTCAAGCTTCTTAGAATGCATGAATCTGTACATGTTTGCCTGGAGGACTTTGAGTTGAATTAAATGGAATGAACCACTATGAAAGTATTGCGTTTCTAAAGCATCTATCGTATCCAATTTGAGTTTTTAAGCACATATGAAGGAATTTTGAAAGGAATTTTTTGTTGACCTTGGTTTTTTGTTTTTACAGAGTAATTCTCTGTTGGTCCCAGACAGTCTGCGAAGCACAGATAAACGCAGGAATGGCCCTGAATATACCAATGACATCAAAAAAAGAAAGGTGGATGATAAGGATTCCAGCCATTATGTAAGCAAATCTGTGTCAAAGAAATGATTAATGTATTTGCACATACTGTGCTCCTGTGAGAAGTAAAAGAGGTGTGAAGAACAAGGCAATGTGTTTCCTATGGCTGATTTAGTGCATGAATGTATGTGCCAGAGATCATTATTCATGTTGTGGAAGAGCAGTGACTCAGTAGTTTGGGCTATTGTCAAGTAATACTCCTCAACAGGGAATAATGAGACAGGAGTAGCTGTTTGGGATTCACAAGTGTTTTGGGACGTCTCTCAGAGTTCGACCAAGAGATCTTTTCTGGACTGCTCTAAAACCTGCAGGTTTGTTTGAAATGGAGGATTTTGTTGCTTTTGGGGGGGTGTTTAGTACATTTTTCTGGTACTAGCTATTACCATGTTGAGTAATAATTATTGTTGCAAATTGCATATGTTTTGAGTCTGTATCAACTTACTAAGTTTTGCTTTTGCTTGATATGGCAGTTTCTGCAGAAAGCAAATTGAAATATAAAAAGTTCACAGTTTGTGTTCTGCATTTTTCACTAGCTTGCTTGTTGCTTGGTTTTGAAGAGACACTTCAGTACAACAATGTGGCATGCATGAACCTCAAAAGGTTCACATAGGCTTTCACCTTCCAAGTCTAGATGCTCAGCCAGACCACAGAATGATACTTGAGTAGGCTTTAGAGACTACGACTGGTGTGAGAGTGCTGAAAAGCAGAACTTAAAAGTAACAGAAGATATTATTCTTTGACATAGCAATAATGTGGCAAGTTGTCTGGTTTATGTGAATCTGGTCATTAATTACTTCCTGGTTACTGAAACCAAAGAGAAAATCAAGTGCCCCTTTATTTCCTTAGTATTTGGTAGGGTAATTTCTCTGCACTTGGACCCATAATGTCTCTGAGCAGCTATTGGATATCCCTGGAGCTACTGACAATAGATGGAGTTACTTTCTCTGTTCTGCACATTGTGGTGGTGTAGTATTGTTATGGTTTTGCAAGATGTATTTCCACCACTTTCTAATAATCCTGTCTTGATTACAGAAGGGTTTGGCAAACTTCCCCATGATACTTCCTGAACTTCGAGGGTTTGATACTCTATGTGCATTTTTCATTTTAAATATTTGAATATAAACCATTCTTATGCTGTAGTTGATATTTAAAAAAAAAAAAAAAAAAAAAGAAAAAGCTAAAATTGCTTGTTTTTCTGTGTTTCTACTGGACATAAATGGAAAGGCTATTATTGCACTGTAAAAGCAGTTTGTTTTAATCCACATTTTAGATGTCTGGTGTGGTTCTTTGCTTGAAATAGATTTTACAGAAAAAGGCAGCATCTAAGTAAAGGATTGAGCAAACTAAGGAAACTTGAAAGTTCCAAATTTATTCAAATCTGGAAGATCATTCTTTTTAAAGGTTCCCCAATTCTGCAAACATGGAGCTGCTGATTTCAAGCTCATTTTAGATGAGGCCCTTGTAGGGACAAGGAAGTACTGCTGTTGTTCGAAAGAAGATAAATGAGTTGTAAGAAATTCTCGCTTTTGGAAATAAGGTGCAAAATGCAAGGGTGTTTTTCGTTTTGACTTATGACTGATTTTCACATTAGGGCCTGTATAGTTTCAACCTGTGGGTTTGTTAGGAAGGAGAATCTTCCAATGTTAATAGTACCTATAGGAGATGTCTTTGATAGTCCCAGTGAATTTCTGTTTCTCAGGATGACAGCCAGTGGAGTGCACTTAATCATTGCTTGGCAGCTATTTTTGCCCTCCTCAGGGGCGGTATTTCTGGTGAACAAGTGTCCCACCTACTGTGCTCCCACATGCTCAAATGTGTTCTAGCCTATTCTTGCCTTCTGGGTGCTTCATGCTTTTCAAAAGGTGGCAGATAACCGGAGCTGAAGCTTTCCTGTTCATTCTCTTTTTCGCCCTTTGGCTGGATAGCTTCCTGAGTGGCAAATAGAGCCACCATTCTGTCTTCAGTGGCGCTCTTGGATCCCTAATATGCTTGTGGTATTTCTTGGAGCAATATTCAGCTGCTAAAGCAGAAGGGAAGGATTGAAACTATCTGTTGGGGTTTTTTGGGGGTTGGGTTTCTTTGTTTGTTTTTTAAAAACACTTATGGCCTGAAATGAGAGAAAGGAATGGGAGTTTTACTTTGTCTGCCAGTGTTAAGTGTGATAGGCCAGACACTTTGAAAGCAAGAGATGGAGACAGTTTGAGCAATCTTGTAGGTCTGATTTGTTTGCTTAGAAACTTTTTAACTTGAAGTGTTATTGGAAATGTCAAACTTGCCTGTGCAAAAATTTTAAGTTTTGTCATTCACTTGATTTTTTTTTTGGTTGGTTGTTTGGTTTTGGTTTTGAGTCAAGGCTCACCTTCTGGTTGAACCACCGTGGTGCACTGTGGAAATCACTAGACCACTGTGTATCATAGAATGTGTCTGCTGGAGCATTCCAGCCCATTTTGGACACAGGGACCAGGAGGCACTTGAGTAACAGCTATTGTGAGGCACTAGGACAGCTCAGGTGAACACAGATTTATGTGAAACAGTCAAAATGCAGCTTATCAAGCCACAATAAAACATTTCCATTTAGGAATGTCAAAGTGTTTTGGTTTTGTTAGGCAGAAATGTTGAAATGCCTTGGTATTTCTAAAGCTTTTTCTTCCCCAGAACTTTCCATTTCAAAACTTTCCTTTCTGGACAAGGAGAAAAATTGTCTTAATTTGATTTGAGTAATTTGATTGAACAAACAAATGCCAAAAAGCTTCAGTTTTCTGAGATCTGTTGTGTTTTTTAGGTATACACAAGCAGTAATTTCTGTAACATTAACGTCTGAGATTAGCATATGAACAGAATGAGTTTCTCTCTTAGGAGTAGTGATAACATGTTTATGATGGTAATAAGGAAGGATTTTGGACCATCTTGCACTGATGGTGAGACCACAACGTTTCAACTAGTTCTACCTTGTTTGGGTTTTATTACTGAAGCAGAAATAAGGTGTTGTGTTCCTGTTTTCATTGTTTTCCCTATTGCTAATGAGTTAATGAAAGGCTGTTTGCTTTTTTTGTTTAGGAAAACCAAAAAATGTCTGAGTTGATGCGTAGTTTTTCTACCTGGGCTTTTAATGTGCTGATTGAAATGAACACTATATTTATTTATTTTCAATAGGACAGTGATGGGGACAAGAGTGACGATAACTTGGTTGTAGATGTATCCAATGAGGTAACTTTTTTCATTTTTGTAGTCTTGACATTTGCCCAAAGGTTAAAGGAAAAGTGCATTTAGATGTTAGAAGAAAAAGAATCCTCTGTGTGGATATGTTAAAATATTCACTACTTCTCTTTTTGTTAGTACTGCAGTTACTGTGTCTTCCTCTGAGCTTTATCTGGTTGCCCTCTGGGCTTTTCCTTCTGCTGCTTTGACCAGGTCTGTTCCCTCCACAGTTATGTTCTGATACTTCATAGCTGCTCTGTAGTGGAGAGATGCAGGTGGAGGGCTGAGGTTTTCACGCTGCTGTCTTCAAATGAAAAAGGAAGACGTTACCTAACCTTGAATTTAATACTAGTAGTATTATTGAAAACATGAAATTACTATTATTTTAATGTCCTACATTAAAGACAGCATTTTCTAGAAATGTTTGGTTTTTTAGAATGAAGGCAGAGTGAAGTCAGTCAGTTCACAAAATTTTCTGGAGGTTGTAGCCATTTTTTTTTTTTTTCCTCCTGGGCAAAGATTTTGCAGTGGCATCAAGGTGAGGGGATGGGCCAAAGAGATTTGGGAAGCCTGAATATGGTAGCAAGGTGGTTCTGCTCTGTGAAAAGCACAGGGAGAGAAGCTGACAGAGAAGTGTCTTCAGCAACTCCAAGTGCCCAAATGATGTCAGCCAAGTAGGAAAATGGGTATCCAACTAGAGATTTTAGTAATCCTTTCAGAAGCCCTACTCACAATGAAACTGCTCAATAATCAATCAGTAGACTTAGTGCCCTCTTGAGAGGACTGCTTCCTGCCTGCTGATGTTCTCATGAGCCAAAGGAGCACGGAGAACCTGCAGAATTCTGATGGCATTGTAGCTTATTGGGCTGGCTGTTTCAGGTTAAAGTAAACAGAGTGCCTCTGGAAGAGAGAAAGATAATCACCGGAGAGGTGATGTAATTTTTTCCTGTAGATTTGAGTAGCAGGGTGATTGCAGATGGTATTTAGAAAGAAGTGACATATACTATAGCATATAAAGCATGTGTCTTTATCTCTTGTTTTGAAGATAGACATGAGCAAGGTTTGTATGGCCTAAAAGAGATTATAGAAATGTTTGTTGTCACTAGCAGTGCATGGAAAACGTACACGGAAAAAAACAGTGTAAACTTACTGCACTTACTTTTGGTAGTCTTGCTCTTGTGGCATGTCGTGTGCACTTGCCTTAGTTTGTGCTTAGATATACTTCAATTGCAAGCTCTGTGCTTGGAAACAGTTTATGATTACATGTAGTGTAAGATAAAACCAGATTGCTTACTACATGAATTTATATCTCTAAACTGATGAAGGGATTTCAGCTTTTTTTTTCTATAGAGATAACAAAAAGTTTGAACTTAAAACTTGCTTAAATTCTTCTTTCTTTTCTTTTTTCCCCATAGACTCCTTATTGGTTGTATACCAACCCATGACACTATTCTCTGCTGTTCTTTCCTTCCTATTGTTTTAGGATCCTTCTTCCCCAAGGGCAAGTCCCACTCATTCACCACGTGAAAATGGTATAGATAAAACCCGCCTGCTGAAGAAAGACGCCTCTAGCAGTCCAGCATCTACAGCCTCTTCAGGAAGTTCCACTTCCCTCAAATCCAAAGAAATGAGTCTGGTGGGTAGCAGTCTGTTATCTAGTTAAATGTTCTTTCTTGTAAAGTCTAACTCTCCGTTCTCCTGCAACTACTTGTGGCAGAAAATACATGGCTTTAAACGTTTGAAGCTGAGATAAACTGCTGTTTTGCCAGACTTTTATAGTCTTATTCATCTTTCCTCCTCAACAATATATTCTGCTTAATTTTGCTTTCTTGTATTTCCTAGATTTTTGTCAAATTAATTGCAAATTTATTGTAAAGTACAAGAATCGCTTAACCATTGTTTGGTTTTGCTTGAGCAATAGTTTATGGTTTAACATAGTCTGTATATGGTCACTAAGAAGTTCTTCAGGCTTTTGTTAAACTCTTCTAAATAAGCTGTTGCTCTTCGAAAATGTTTCCTGCAGTATCACTAACAATTTGATCAGATTCTCTGTAGCTTTTGGGTACTATCAACTGTGGTAGGTTTTCAGGGCTTTTTTTTTTATTTGCTATGTCCAATAATAATTGAGACAGTAATGATTTCAAACTAAAATAATTTGGTCATGCATACTGTATTGTCCTGAAAAAAAATTAGCTCAGGCGTGTTTTTTAATTCATGCCAATGTTTTATTTTCATGCTATGTTTCTTATTTTAATTTTGGCAACAATCAGAAAGGTCAGCATTTCTCTCTCGCATGTTAATTTTGTAAGCATTGCGTGGATTTATGAAAATTGGCTGAGGGAGTAAGTAGTAGGTGCCCAGCATCCCAGCTGCTGTTGTGATAAATTGTATAATATGGCCTGGATTAAAAATAATACTCATTTAATTTGTTTAATGATACTAGCATGAAAAAGCCAGCACGCCTGTTCTTAAATCCAGCACACCAACTCCTCGAAGTGATGTGCCAACCCCAGGCACTAGTGCAACTCCAGGACTTCGTCCAGGTCTTGGCAAGCCTCCAACGATGGACCCTTTGGTTAACCAAGCTGGTAATGCATTGCCTCACATGTTTTTATGGTTCCAAAATTAATCTCTTTTTTTACGTATGTAGTTCTGTGCAGATGAATGTTAGCTAAATATATTGCTTTGTTCTTGATATTGAGAGGGCTTGATGAAAAGCAGATGTTTGGATTATCAAGAGTTTGAATATCTATCTCTTATCCTTCTTTGTTTACTTTTGTCTTTATCTGTTTTGCAAATAATCCAGAGACTGAATGCAATATAAAAAGACTTCTCAGAAGTTCCTGGTACTCTCTCTGAATGTGATCTCTTCTCCAGCTCTTTGACTGAGTCTGCTAATACTTGCTGCATTGTACATCTTGACAAATGGGGGGGGGGAAGTTTAGTTTTGCTGTTCAGGCTGGTACAGCAGAGTTGCTTCAGACATGATCTGTTTAAACCACATCTGTTGGCTTTACTGATTAATTTGGCAAAGGACAGATTAATGTAAACAAGGAAATATCACAGAAATGGAAATAGGTAATGGCAGAAGAGACTGTTAGAAGTAACCAGCAAGTTCAAATCCTATGTACACTGAGTGAAAAGAGGTGGTGGTATTGATAAATTATGGCAATATTTCTTGGCTGTGTGTGTATGTGGGAGGGGAAGGTTAGGTATTGTAGGAGGGGAAAAAAGGGCCTGTTTTCTTCCCTGTACGCAGGAATATATAAATCAAACTACTTAATTTCATTACATTCTGTAGCTGCAGGTTTGCGGACACCATTGGCAGTACCAGGACCGTACCCTGCTCCATTTGGAATGGTACCTCATGCTGGCATGAATGGAGAGTTAACCAGTCCAGGGGCAGCCTATGCCAGTCTGCACAATATGTCACCCCAGATGAGTGCTGCTGCTGCAGCAGCTGCTGTGGTTGCCTATGGAAGATCTCCTATGGTAGGCCATACGTTGCATGCAATCTCAGCTGTGTGAGTTGTGGTTCACTGAGAAAAGCTATGTGCTTCATTTAGCACTGTCAAATTCCCAAGTTATAACAGCGCCAGAGGCTTGACAGCTTCACTGTGTGTTTCACTTTGCTGCGTGGCTGGAGAAACAAATTTGCACCTTGAAAGCAAAGAATCTCGGTATATTTATGTATGTTTCCTTTTTTCCTTGCCTTCATCAGTGCTTTGGCTGATTAATAAATGCCAAAAAATTACTTTATGCTTTAAATGGCAAGTAGTTTTAGTACCTACAAAGCATTTAATTGATGCTGTGGACATCTACTATTCTCTTGCTGTACCAGATTTGTGTTCCATACAGACATACCAAGTTAATCTTGGCGCGTGTAGAAGTCTTTTTATCTATGTCTCTGTCCTTGTATTTTGGTGGGGTTTTTTTTTGTGAAATCAACGCGAGAAGTTGGTACGTACGTATCTTGGAGATCTCTGATAAAGTGTGGCAAGAATAGTTGCTTTTGTGGGTGTAGTAAGTAAATGGAGCATCACAGTTCTAGCTACTGTTAAGCAGAATAACCTAGAGGCCTGACTCTACAAACATGAGGTAATGGCAGCTTTATGCATAGACAAGCTTGCCTACTTTTAAATTTGCAAGATTGGACTTAAGACTGTCATTGTGTCATTATTGTAGATAAGGCCGCTTTCTTCAAACTGGTAAACAGGGCTTTTATGTGAAAATGTGGAAATTCTAAATAGTACTTCCACTCCTTAAAGCAATAAGAATTTTGTCTCAGGTATAGCATTCAGAAGAAAAAGTCCGTTTGGTCCAGAATTTCTGTTTGGATTATTTGGTGTACATATTTATTTAAGATATAAAGGTTTAGTGGAATTGCAGTATATAAAGAGAGCATAGTATATTTAAGCTGTAGACAAATTTGTCTGCACCCTGCAGTGTAGCCTCGTGAGGGAGAGATCTGCTGATGTGCCCACACAGTGCAGTGTGGAGCCATGCAGAGATTCTAGCTGGGGCCTGAAGCTGCTTTCAGGCACTGCGCTCTGCCTGCATGGCTGTTGCAGAGTTAGAGTGCTTGTGTGGCTACATGGCGACACACCACAGACTCTGATTCCAGGGCTAGCTCCGTGCTAACAGAGAGGTATTTATGTTACACTCAGTGATGTGAATGCATGCTATAGTTTAATGGTTTTATGTTCGCATATGAGAACTTCTAGCAGAAGCATGCCCAGGGGATAACGTCTTGTTTTTCCCCCCTTATGAAGGGACACATGCTTATCTAATACTGTGAGTAAAAGCCATGTTTTGGTTAAATGCATAATATCTTGGGGGTAAAGAAGAGGGGCAGGGGCTTACTGAGTGAGAAATTGCAAGTGTGAGATTAATTAATTTTTCATTGTCAGGTTGGGTTTGATCCTCCTCCTCACATGAGAGTACCTGGAATCCCTCCAAATCTAGCAGGGATTCCTGGTGGAAAACCGTAAGTAACTTCGAATGTTTTGGTAACATCTGCAATGTCTAGAGAGAATAAAGTTATCTTGTGTCAGCGTACAAGAATTCTAAAGGGGGTAGTGTCTGGTTGTTCCCAAGAGATTGTTTTAGACCTCTCCTGGTAAGAGATGCAGCATGTGAATTCTCTAACAGTAGTTGTCATATCCCAAAACAGGTGTGCATATACCTATTTCCAAGGGAAAGCTGTTGAAGGTATACATTAAAATTTTTTTATTTCTTTGTTTCTGGGGGAAGTTGAGGGGACTACAAACTGGTGGATAAGTGGTAAAATACATGAGATAAAAACATTGAAATGAAGCTTTGTACTATACTGAGCATAAATGTGTAGTGCGAACTCAGACTCGTTGACTGGCACCTGTTTTATCATGCATGAGAGTTGCAACTGTTGATCACAGTGAGTGTCTGAAGCAGTTACTTTAGGAACTGATGCACACCTTGCATAATGGAGCAAGCTCTTTAAAACATTTGTGTATGTGTGCAGCTGGAGAGCAAAAGGATGATGAAGCAGTCATGGAGCAGGTGAATAACTTTCACTAAAGGTTCTTTTTATTTAAAAGTTTTAATTGTTAATGAAAAGGTAGTTAAATAAAATACTTCTGTGATGCTGTGCCTTATTGATGTTACAGTAAAATAAATTCACCAAAACAGCATACATCAAATTTTTCAGTAATTTGGCTTTGGTAGACTGTTGAGACTGAGCTTATCCATGTGCAGTAGTGTCATAAGCATGTACACTTGAAAAAAGTGATTATTTTTTAACTATTTCTGGACAACTAGTGTGTGCAGGTACAGGCAGAGCATAGACTGCAAATTTGACTAATCTGTTTTCTTGGAGAGGGTGGGGCAGAGAGAGTTGTAACAGGTTTTTTTTGACATGCTGTTAGGACCTGTTCTTTGTTCCTTCATGCTTGGCATTCAGTCCTGTCTTCCCTTTTAAACAAAGATGCAGTTAGAGTAGTTTTTCTCTATCTAGGTATTTACATAATTTTGGAACTCACTTAGCACTTTGCTCTTCCAATGCTGGGTGTTCTTGTTTCATACTGCCTTCTTTACCAGTCTACCATGGTTTCATTTTTCATTTTGTAGTTTCAGGAAAAATTCAGAAACTATTACTTTTAGGATACTGCCTATATTATGAGACGCACTGTGATGAAAGTTATAGACACTCATATTTCTGTTTGCTTTCATTTTGAACTCCTGATAATAGCTAGTGACACGTTGTAATGTCAGTTGTGCAAACATCCTTAAAAGCATACCAGATTATAGGCAAAAAAGTGTATTTTCTTCTACTCTTTTTCCGTAACAGTAGGAAAGCAGCAGACTTAGATCAGGAAAGCCATCCTGAATGTGTTTTTGTTGTTATCCACCATGCTTCTGAGAACAGACTTAGCTATCTGTTGGCAGCGTGAGAAACCTGTTAAATCTTGGATTTACTTAAAGAAAAGTTGGTGGTATGTTGACAAGGTTACTGAAATGAGGGCTCAGGGAGTTGGTGTTATGTATCAGATGGGGATATATTTAAATTTAGTATAGTAAGGAAGAGGCATTGTTCTCAAAACATTATTTTATTAAGAGTCAGACTCATTCTTGCTGACTTTAGTAGAATTTGGCGTACTTATATAAAATATTTTTGGAGATCGCATAATCCAGTGGCTGTAAGTTTTTACTTTTAAACAAGTATATTCCAAAGCTTTCAATGACTTATTCCATTAGTAATGCCCGGCAGTATTTTATATTATAAGCGATGGAAAAAATCTATTTTTGTTCAGTCAGAAATTTTCTGTGGATGAGTTCTAGTCGTTGCACCATTCAAGGCACAAAAGTAGTGCATGTATGCTGCTATGCTTGTATCCTGGTATTACATAGCTTAATTACAGTCTGTGTGGGGTTTTAAAAATTTTTATTTAGTGTTTTCAGCACTTTATTCACACTGCTTCACAGATCACCTACTTTGGTACATCCTCCCTACTCTCCACTTGATGTGATGTGTTCTGTAATTTTTTTTTTTGTGGTCATGTTACTTGGACTGAGTCAGTCATTTCCTCTAATGTGACTTCTTTGCTTATCTTTAGTGTCAGGCAAACCTAAAATTCCATAAACTGATCTGTTATCTTTCCATTGACAGCTTTAGAACAATGTCTTGTTTTAGTCTTGGCTACAGCTAGCTGAAAATTCACTTTTTTCATTTTAGTAGGAAAGGGATATTTCATGTGGTAAATGTTAACTCTCAACTTGTACTTAGAAGCTGACTTTCTTTGTGTTTTTTGGGAAGGAATAGTATACTGTTCTGGAATTGCTCAAGGCAAAAATTTAACAGATTTCAATTCTCCTGATCTTCACACTTGTTCACTGAATATACACTGAGGAATATTTCAAAGGAAGACTAATTTTATCATATTCTAGAATAACAGGTTGGTGTTTTCCCACCTTGTGTCTCTGGATAGAATTATTTGATGGCATATATGAATTTAAATATTTTGTTATTTCTGTACAAATACCTTTATCCTTATTTCTTGGCATTTTTTCCTATATAATGAAATGCTGTACTCAGATATTGGCTGTTTGTCATAACTAGAACTGAAAATAAGTTGCAGTACAAAGAAGAGCTGAATGTAAAATACAGTCATCAGTAGAAGGAACTGTCTGCTTTTGTGTTTTGCAGTTGGGGTAATTTTGTCCTAGTTTAGTTGCTTTGCCACGTTCTTGAGCAGTAAATTAGGTATCCTGAACTCTCCTCAGCATGTCAGATGATACTTATTATATACTTATTTGATATTTATTTGGAAATTGAGGGGCCATCATTACCAGATACAAGCTGAGAAACAGGATTGTATTAGTATCACTTACTGTGTTGTAATGTGTAGGAACTCTGCAGGTGCTCGGTGCTCCTTTGACACAGGTGAGAAGTCATCTTTGGAGGCAACAGATCAGAAGAATATTTCTGTTATTCAGAAAGAATGTAATGATAAGGGACAGTATTCTGTTTCTCAGAACTCTTACCTAGATGAAAGGCATGCAAGTTTGTCTTGTAAGTGTTCTTTTCATAAAACACAATTAATTACTAGTGTATATTTACATATTAATTGAGGTGTGCTTAGCTTGTTTTATGTTAAATTCTAATTGCATTGTGTAAGAACTTCTTCTTTGTTCATCGTGGTTGTTAGCCTAATATGAGGAAGGGCTGTCTTAATGCTAACAACCATTGAACCAAAGGTGGGTAATCGTAGAACCCAGTTGTTCATAGAGGCAGAATGCAAATGCTGTGAGTCAGAAATTTGTGATCGTGGTGGACATGAGCAGCAGTTTCTGGCATACACTATCAATTCTAAAAGATCATCGTAAAAGATAAAAATGCACATTACATTTTTTGCAGTGTTCTGGAATTCAGATGTCAATAGCAATTCATTGGGAAGAAAGATGGGTGGGCAAGGGATACCTGTCAAGAAATACCTTGAGGTTTAGAGAACTTGAAAATTTACCAAATATTGACTCTTCTAAGATTGGGCAACCAAAATACTTGTCAGTTTTGAGAATTCAGGCCTGTGAATATGCCTAGTGCATTAAAAATGGAGTAATTTCTTAATTGCATATAAGTACACCTACAGCATTGTAAGTGTAGCACTGAAAGTACAGGCCTCCCTGAAGTAGCAGATAGTCCTCTATCATGCTGACCTGATGGAGAGGTAACAAAGGACAACAGCAATTGAGCCGCAAATAGTCGTTTGCACTGCTGTCTCCAGTACTGTGTTCTTCTGGAGACAGAAGCTTTCCTTGTCTAGGGTGTGTCATCTTGCAAATGATGCAAGTTTTTGCAAGGTAAAAGGTATGTGTGATGAAAAGTTATATCATAACACCTAGTAAATATAAGTTACTAGACTTAGTAAATACAAGTTACTAGACCACATATGTATGCTGTCAGCAGTGATGTTAGTGTAACATGCCACACATCTTCAAATAACCAGGAACATTTACTTTTTTGTGTGCTTGTCTTGACAGGGGCAAGTGGATTTGGCAATGTGTAGCCATTTCTTTACACAGTGTATTGCTGATAACTTGCACCGTAGAAAAAGCTGTCTTGGCTTGTAAGAAACAATTGCTGGTTGGTTGTTAGGCTTTCAAACTCAGTTATTGGTTTACAAGGCACCCAGCCTGATGGCAACAGATGGAGTTCAGCTTTCTAGAAAGGGGAAGAAGATTCTCACACATCAGTTGGCCGGGCTCATAGTGAAAGCTTTAAACTAGGTTCGAGGGGGGAGAGGGACAAAACAAGTCCCACCAGTGATGGACCTAAGGGTGGCATGCTGATGTTGGGGGTGAAATCGATAGCCCAGCTCAAGTGCATCTACACCGATGCACACAGCATGGGCAACAAACAGGAGGAGCTGGAAGCCATTGTGCAGCAGGATAGCTATGACTTGGTCATCACAGAAATATGGTGAGATGACTCTCATGACTGGAGTGCTGCAATGGATGGCTATCAGCTCTTCAGAAGGTATAGGCAAGGACAGGTGGTGAGGTGGCTTTGTATGTTATGGAGTGTTTTGATTGTGTAGAGGTTAATGATTGTGATGACAAGGCTGAGTGCTTATGGGTAAGGAGGAGGGGGAAGGCCAGCGAGGTAGATATGCTGCTGGGAGTCTGTTATGGTCTGCCCAACCAGGAGGAAGAGGCAGATGAAGCATTCTACAAGTGACTGGCAGAAGTCTGTCAATTGTTAGCCCTTGTCCTCATGGGGGACTTCAACTTATCAGATGTCAGCTGGAAATAATACAACACAGCAGAGAGGAAACAATCTAGGAGGTTCCTGGACTGAGTGGAAGAGAACTTCCTGACGCAGTTGGTAAGAGAGCCTAACAGGGGTGGTACCTCATTTGACCTACTGTTTATGAACAGAGGAGGACTGGTGGGAAATACAGTGGTTGGAGGCTGACTTGGCCTTAGCGACCATGAAATGATAGAATTCTCTATTGGT